ACTGAGAGGTGGCTGCTGATTCACGTTTACAATCAACCAGAATCATTGATTAATCCAATCAGCCGACTGGCTTTCCGCTAATATTTACTTATCCTAATCTCTAGAGATTTCATCTCTGAACCAGCGAAGCGACTATATCAACAGTATTACTAGGATATTGTAAAACGCCTTTGCAAGTACCTTTACATTTACAGGTTAGCTTTAAGTTTTGGTTTTATTTTGTACCTATTGATAACACAATCATTTGCGAATTTGAGGTCTTGTAGGCTTGCGGAAATAACTCCGCTAAAAGTTAATATATGATTTTGTCAAGTAAAAGTATTAAATACTTAAACAAATTGACTTATTGGTAATTTTGTACAAATTATTATACAATGACTAATAAGGTAAGAAGTTGTGGCAACATATTTTGAGTTTGTCGCTTGGCGACCTTAACAATGCAAAAACATTTAGTTGCCAGTAATTTCTGGTTGAAGGCTATAGTTTAACATTGGATACACAACAGTTGCTATAGCTCATAATAAGTCATTCCAATAGTTTGACTTGGTAAAAACCATCGTGCAATTGGCAGAAATCAGTAAATTATATCAGTGCAATCTGTAGGTGGCTCACATCAACTAAGAAAATTTTTATCAAAAACCTGGCGACAACTTTAACATGGGGATGGAATGTCTAAAAGGTCTTCGTTCCAAAAACAGCTGATAAAATCCTAGTAAGAAGAGAACAGTAAGACTCTTTTTGCCGGCTAGTTAAGCGTAAAGTAACGCTTTTCGCATGATCTTCACGTCTCTGCTGGTCAATACCATAGATTAAACATACTCCATTGCATTATTATTTTTGTCATCCTCATGGATCGGCTGAAGAACAAAACTTTTAGTTCCGTCCGGTGCAGCAAGGAACGTGTTTTTGTTATTTCAGTTATTTAAAACCTCGTTTAATCAGATAGAACGATCTAATCATAAACAATAACTCGTCCCCTGAGCCCTAGTTAATGACGAAATTTCGTCAACGCTAGCGCCCAGGGTCATCAAGAGGAGCTAGACACTAAAAGATAGCATACAATTTTACAATGGGACGAGAAGACTACTTGAGTTTGTTAGTCTATGACAGTACCTCAAAAAACCCCAATCGAACAATTATTTGTAATAACCTTAATTTCCTAAGGAAACCGACAACCAATAATTGGAATGGACAGTACAAAAACTACAACAGTCCATAAATTGGAGTCCAGTTAGTTGTTTCAAGTGAAGCTTTATCTAGCAACCAGAGTCAGCCAATCAACAGATAATACACTAATGTTCGCGTCAGTCAACAAATCGGGAGGTGGTCTGATTGAATCTGATTGGAATAAAATCTTCCGTCATTTTACTTCGAATAACGAACCTGAAAACGTACGTAATTCACACACACGCTACAACAGTGCAATCAAAAAGTTGTACTGTATTACTTCTTATAACAACTTTAATTGGTTTAATACCTATCAAAACTATTACTTAATTTAATACTAGTTAATAATAATTAGAATGGGTCAATCAGGATCGACCTATTTCAAACGGAATCAAATTAATCTTAGTGACATTGCACTTATCTGATTTGAACTTGAACTGTCAGATTTGTCAGATATATTATCAATTATCATGTCTAACAACTAATTAGTTTATTTATTTAATTAATTTAAATAATTAATTAATTTATGTCTGATTATAGCAAGATTTTTTGACATTATAATCTAGTGAGCTAGAAGTACACATATTTATGATTTACAAACAAAACTATTCCGTTAAAATGTTTGTTTTGTGGAATCTACCTAGACAATGATAAAATTGACTGCTATGGGGCAATTTTTTCAACTCCAAACGATAGGCCTATGTGTAACTTAATGCTGTTAAGGCAGTACGTATTGCCGTAGAGGTTGCTTACATCTATTATCAATTAGTTATAAAATTATTTTAGATGGGGACGCCACTATGTGCATATTTTAACCCGAAATGAGTGAAGGATGAGTTGCTTCCAAGTTGCTTCTTCTGTACTTACGAAAATGCACTCATTAGACCCATGACTGCCCGTCAGCAATAAACTCACGGACACGTTAGTATTATATTTACGTATTATTAATGATGTTTTTTATTGACAAATAGGCCGACCTTTAATGTATATCATTATTGTGAATGACTGGTTACTGGTATTATCTCCGAATAACATTTTAACTGGACCTTCTTTTAGGTAAGGTTCGTTTTGCAATAAAAGGAGTCATATATTTATATGCTAGCTCTTTCGACATTTTTAATGTGTCATTTTTGACCCGGTCGTCCGTTTGAGTTCGGGTTTGTGGCATTGTATTTTACAAATAAAGACTTTTAATTTGATGTTTATATCAACCTATGCTTACATTTAAAACTTTCCTCTGACTCCTAGCGGGCCGCCCCCTGAAGAAGTATTGTATCACCGAATCATGTGTTGAAATGATTTTAATGTCCAGTAACAAGTACCAAAATTTAAAGCTCTACCTTTATAACTTTTTGAAATATTTAACCGTCTCGGGACTTTTTTCCACCCTGTATGAATATCTATATCACTATAGGCCCTATCACAGATCCGTTTTTATAGCTTTTATTGTCAAATTCGTATGGGAAGAGTTCAGCTGGTATTTTTATGTGCATGGCTTATATTCAATTAAGGAATATCGTAAATTTTGGAAAGAGAAAACTTCAACTTGAAAAAAGTGTAAAAGCTATAATAAATAATCATTTGGGATAAATGAAGCGGGTGTAGAATGGAGGACGTTTTAAGTGACTTTAAAACGCTCCATAAACTTTTATTCTTTGTGGAACTCAGCGGTAAATGTTAGGCCGTTAGGCCTACCTATCACTTTACGCCCTATTATTTGCAAACAGAAAAGTACTGGCAGTTTTATTTGAACTATGAAGTTGTAATTTAAGTTGTTTCTACTCTCTTGGATGGTTAAATGTGAAGGTTTATTCGTAACACCTTAAAGCACAGACAATATAGTAACGTAACGTTACTGTTTAGTTTTTGAATTAAGCTTTTTGACAGAAAGTAAAGTACTGTATATTTATTATATGAACATGATTAAAATTCCACCAATAAATAATTAGTTATTATAAATTAATGGATGATTAATTCAATTAGGCAGCTTAACCTCATTATATCTGCTTATTATGTTACTTAAAGATTATTTTTCTTGCTTGTTTAAAATTATTCTGCAAAATGTAACTTCCTTTAAAACTGCCAGTATTTAAAAGTGCCAAACCAAATTTATTTCATCGATAACAATCCCGTTTTAAAACTACGCTTTAAAAATTAATCATTAACACGCTTTATATTAATTTTAATTGTTCATGTCTAGAAAAGTACAATTTCGTCATAAATTATTACTCTGATCGTTTGCTTTCGATGTGATGTTAGCCAAAAGGAAAACTATGTGATGTCAAGTATTAGTTTTATCTAGGTTATATAAAATTTATATCTACGTAGATCCAATTTGAACTCATCGGGGGACCTGGGGTTGAGCCTCCAGCGATCAATCAATGAATGCAACCAATTTTATTTTCTACATACATACATTTTTTTAAAGAAAATTAACACTCTTTATTTTTCATAAAACCCTTACCAATATTTTTCTAATGAAAAATACCCTGAATAATAAGTTTGAACTTGATCTAAAACTAATTTAAAGCTAATTTTAATTGTTCTTTATGTAATCTAAATGAGAATGAGGACACTTATCATTTTGTTGCTCGTTGTCCAATTTTAAGTCAAATTAGAAATAAATGGCTATTGAAAGCTCTTTTAACTCGCTCAGAGTTTATAGATTTCCTTAATGGTAAGGATTGGCATTCGCTGGCAAATTTTCTGAGAGATGCTTGTTAGTATAGATGGGATTTGGTTTTAGAATTCAACGTATAAGACTAGCAGCAAAACAATATAAATATTATAGCTTATTACAAATAGTTTCACATTTTTAGTCGTATTAAAAGAAAATGTTGCCATAAAAGATAATGTTGTCAACCCGGCAGACGGTCTTATGACCATTGCTGTAAAGTGCTATTTTTAGTTAAATTTGTTCTTTCTTGTTATGCAGAAGATTATGTTTAGTTATAAGTTGTATGTATATATGCAGTTTATTTTTGTGTTAATAAAGCACATTTTCATTTCATTCATTCATTCATTCAAATCTACAATGACACATTCCATTTGCCTAAAATACTTGTGTCCAGTAAAAAAAAAACTTAACAATAAATTGTGTCGCTCATCTCAAGTAAGTCATTAATAGAACGAGATGTTATTTGTCACTGTGACCATGAAGCCTGCATAATCAGCTCAAGGGACATAACCCATGTTACTGTCATGTCACGTGTAACTTGTAACCTGTTTCCTGTAACGGGAACATGCTATATTCACTTATCACTAAACATCAGAACACAGTGATATTTGTCATTGTGAAATATGAACATGAGGTTTGTGTATAATGAGTTCTTGTAACTTTATCCATGTTATGTTCCTGTTACTCGTCACCTCGTTGACATATGTACTGTAACATGTTTCCTGTAGTGGTAACGTGTTATATCGAGTCATCAGAAAACAGCCTTATTTGTCACTATGCGAATATGAAACATTAACCTGCACAGTCAGCTCTTATGTGACATGACCTGCAGAATCAGCTCCCGTGGCATGATCCTTGTTGTGCTATAATATGTCACCTGTATCGTTTAAGCGTTTTTTTTCAATACTGTAACTTCAAAACGTTTTCTTGTCCACTTATAAAACACAGAGGAATACCGCTTTTTTGTCACTATGAACACAAAGCCTGCATAATCAGTTCATGTGGCATGAATGAACATGCGCTTACTCCTACATACCCCCTGTAATTATGTAGCCTGAGATTTGTTAACGCTAACCAAGTGCTTGTTATTTTATAGTACTTTTAATAGTACAAGTAAAGTAGGTACCTACTCAAGTTTTGTGTTGGTGTGTTGCAGGAAATATGCCTGGTCGTGTTTTTCGGCGTGGAGTACATAATAAGGCTATGGTCCGCAGGATGCCGCTCCAAATACATGGGCTGCTGCGGTCGCCTACGTTTCATCCGAAAACCCATTTGTATTATAGGTAAAATTATTCTTACTTTGCAGCTATTGTTGAAGAAAACTAATGTGTACCATTACACTAATAGTCTTGAAAAAATATAGTAAATGTGCTGTAACAAAGTATTTGTAAATTACAGAATATCCTGACAGCCATAAAGCCAACTAATAGAGAACTTGTAACTTTAAAGAACTTATCTCTACTAAGAAGTATACAAACATTATTGCGCCTCCCCTGTTTGTTCAGTAGGGAAGGGAATCAACGTGATGTAAAAGAACTGAGGTTGCGAACCTAGTCCTAAATTTTCATTCCAAGCTGTTACCAAATTAAGAAAATCCTCTTTATTACTCGGGTTAACACGGTTCGTTAATTTCACATAGTTTACATTAACATGAAAACTTTAAACAAAATTGGACAAATTATAAAACGTTTTGACACGGTTGCGTGGTGTTAGTCGGCAGAAGGTGAGTCATGAGGATTTTCTTAACTTGGTAACCGCTTGAAAATGAACCTTAAGGTTTGAAACCTCGGTCGCTGACTTAAATCCGGATCACCGACAGAGTACTTACAGGTATTTACTCTACTTGTATTTGTAAAAAACGTGATCCAGAGGCTTAATATATTTGGTTATGCATATTAAATGTGTCGTCTGATTATGCTAAATAACCCTATAACATACAACAAAAATTATTTTAAACATTAATATAATATAAATATTAAATATTACTTCAGTACAATCAAATCACACGTTGCTATTTTCCATAAAATGTGATATGTTTGTTGCAGATTTAATCGTAGTTGTAGCTTCCATTGTAGTGTTATCGGTCGGTTCGAATGGTCAAGTGTTTGCAACGTCTGCCATCCGAGGGATCAGGTTCCTTCAGATCCTACGTATGCTCCATGTAGATCGCCAAGGCGGCACGTGGAGGCTGCTGGGATCCGTTGTATTTATTCACAGACAGGTAATAATGCCTTTTGACATGTATTAAATTTGTTCTTCTTCTTGCATCTGATCTGACCACTGAGCTAAAATTATAACTGGAGGTAGCACTGCCATGGCAGAAGTCTGTCAAAAGCGAGTCGCTGATTTTGTTAGGTTGGTATAGCAGTAAGTTTTCTTACCATAGCAATAACATGGCTTCTTATAACTAGGTTGGTATAGCAGTGAGTATTTTTGTCATACTTGAATACTTTTAATACTTTAATAATTTTCTTTGAAATGGCGACCATACAAAGTAGGTATTTTAAGCCAAGTATAATAATAGCCATAGCAATAATATGGCTTCTTATAACTCACACCTCACGCAAACATGGCGGCTGGCGACACGCATCTTTGACATTCAGTGCTACCTCCAGTTAGAATTATAGCTCAGTGGATCTGACTATTTCATTGACTTTGAATAGTGATTGTAGACTACTCATCCTATAGCAGTTTCATGTTGATAACAAAGGAGTGTGATGAAGTCGACAGAATAGTTATTTGTGTAACTAGTGAGCAAAGTGGCACTTTGCTGCACACGGGAGCAATGTTTACGCACGACCCGCAGGCGAGTGTGGAATGATCTCAAGTGCAGCAAAGGCCTTTTTTGCACTCGTGTTACACATTAAATTTTTCCTACACTCCCTAAAAAACATATAAATAATTAGTCTTTCAAACACTATACAACACGTTTTTAGGTTAGGTTGTTATACCCAAGCCATGAACTGAATGCACAATTTGTTTTTCAGGATTAATTTTGCCAACAGTGTCATTTAGAGGCTTCTGATTGACTATAACGAAGGTTTAGTAATTGAAAAATTATTTTTGTTCATAGAATAAAATTATAAATGCCTCAAATTCAATTCTATATTTTTTATTATGAAATTAAACCGTCATAACCTAACCTAACCAACCAAACGTGCTGACAATTAAAAAATCTAATGAAGGTTTATTAATCGAAAAAATAGTTCTGTTCATAAAATAAAATTATAAATGCCTCAAATCCTATTTTATAATTTTTTATTCTAAAATTAAACTATCATAACCTAACCAAACTAACCAGACTTGCTTATAATGAAAAATCAAATGAAGGTTTAACCGAAAAAAATATTTCTGTTCATAAAATAAAACTGTAAATGGGTCAAATTCAATTTCATAATGTTTTAATTATAAAATTAAACCGTCATAACCTAACCAAACCAACCAAACTTGTTGATAATGAAAAAATCCAATACAAAAAAATAGTGCTACGGGAGGGATTCGAACCCAGGTCCATCGGATCATCAGCCCAGCACTCTATCCACTACACCACCGAGGCCGATGGCATCATTTGTATCGTCGTGGTAATGATGTTCCCTCAGCCAATCAGAAGCCTCAAAATAATACTGTAGGCAACACTAATCCTGAAATAAAAATTCAGCGAACTGCACGGGAAATACTGCACCAGCTGATTGTAGTTGTTTGTAACATCTTTTAAGTGTTATTTATTTTCAAGACAGGTAGAAACAGTAATAATCAGTATAAACACATTATAAACAAGTATATTGTTTTTCAAAATACAGTATGGCAATAAAAAAATTTCTGACAGTTTTGTAACTATCTTACGTATACGCGCCAAGAGGAAAAGCGTATGATCCTTCATACTTCTTTCTTGATTTTTCAGGTAACAGGTTTAATGAAACATGTTTTCAGTTTTTGCTATTTCTGGGCTATCTTTTATTCACAATTTTTTACTGACTTCCTTTTTTTTAAACTTGTTAGGTCCACTTATAATTCATCTTCAAATGCTACTCTTCAGGTTGTGTCCAAACCAAGTGTTGAACGAAAATAGAACATAAACTATAAACACGAAATCACAGGTTAAATCGTAGGTATAATAGTCAATCAGCTGATCATAGTATTATTATCTTTAAGCGTTGCCGAACTATTTCCAAGCGTACTTTTCAGGCCCACTTTATAAACGGGCAGACTGGGCATATGCCCAGGGGCGCCGAGGATTTAGGTTTGCCCACCGGGTGCCCCTCAACTACCGCCTGCCCGCACTAGGAAAAAATGGGGGCACTGCTTTTTGTTTTGCTTTGCCCAGGGCTCCACTGACCCTTAACGCGGCCCTTGCGTACACGGATTACGTGCGTAATAAAACACGCTGTTTTGTGTTGTTTGGTTGGAATCCTGATGTGCGCCAAAGTATATACCGTATGTCAAAGTATAAACCGTATGTCAAAGTATAAACCGTACGACAAAGTATAAATACGCAGCAATTAGTAGCTATCTATACTATAAACAGTACAAGGAAGCCAACTTTGTCGGGTGTCTGTAGGAAAAAGTATGATTCATACTGTTATATATGCTTAGGCTGCAATGTTTCAATACCATATCATTGAGTATATATGTTTATGCTACGTGTACGTGTATACTCAATGACTATAGTAACGCTCATCACTGTTTTCTTTGAGAGCCTGCCTCTTACTACAAAAATTTGAAAGCAAAAACAGAAATAATTTTGACAAGTGATTTGATTGGGTCTGAGATCGGAGATCGGATTGATTTAACCTCAAAGTTTTTGAAGTTCGTTATTGTTTAATTGTTTGTTTATTTACCTTTACCAGTGTCATCAACTATTAAGTTAGTTACTCACTGAACATTTAAAAATTATTGTAAGGTTATTTCTTTTTTTTTATATTTTTAAGCTAATTACCTATAGTTTATCAGAGATAAGGGCATTTACTTTTTGGTTGCCATGATCTGCAGTAGGCCTTTTATCATATTTAGATAACAAATTTTTATCATAGGCCTACTTAATCCACTACTGCTATGGCGAATTGTGCACACTGTTTATATACACTCTACCTACCCATCTGGGGTACAGTTTCATAACTGGGCTATGCTAATACCGATTGATTGAAACTATCGACTCGATTAGTAAACCTTCGATTTTTTCATTATCAGCAAGTTTGGTTAGTTAGGTTAAGTTTTGACAGTTTCAATTTAGGCTGCACTTTACGTCCTACACTCATTTGAATGAAACAACCGAATGAAAGTATCGATTTATCGATTGTTTCATTCGTTATATCATTTGGTTAGTTAGGTTAGGTTAACCTCACCTTTAGAACTTGTTGTGTATGCCTATTTCTTTTATAGGCTACACCATAGTATATTTCCTTTATATACCTTACACACTTAATACCATTATAATACCTTGAAGACACTTGAAGATGGTAGGTAAAATAATAAGAAGATGTGCATCTTGTGATGGTTCAACATAGAAAGGTTTATTCATCGTAAGTTAAGTTACAGTAGTGGTGGGGACCACGGCCTCATAAATCTAACAAACACCAAAGAGTATAGAACTGAACATATATATAACTTGATACATTACATCATCCTCCCCTTAAAGATAAAGATACTCTCAATTAATACAAATTTACAACCATCATTTTTTTAGATTTTCTTTATATTGACTAAGGAAAATAAGACATTGTTCTGAAAGCAAAACTACTAAAATATTATATAGGCCTATAGCTTTAGGCTATTAAATAAAAACTTCTTTAACATCACTATTCATAAAAAACAAACAAATATAATACAACTAAAATTAACTTTTACATGTTCTGGGTTAGGCCTATTTATGACCTACTCGCTCTTCTCCCTTCACACATCAAACATTTTCTTTTTTACTCGTTCCCTCAATGGATAGCGCCTTAATGGTACAATAGATTCATTACTAATACCTTCTGCATTTACATTTATGCCTACATTTAAGTCAGTTAGGTTAGGTCTACTTAGATTTTGTTCACAAATACTACTTGGTGACAAAGAATTTCTTTGTACAAGTGGAGTACTAGTAACTGGTAATGAGGCCTTAGGAGATGGAGCATGAAAAGATTCATTAATTTCATTAGTTTGTTGTTCTACTGAAGTTACTACACTATCGCTAAGTACAACACTTTCATCTCTAGAAACATTTACATTCAGTGGCAGAATTTGATCTACATGTCTTTTACATACAAAATCATCATCTAAGATTTTAACTTCAAATGAAACAGAACTAAGAGATTTCACAATGTGAGCTTTACTCCATTTACGCCCAGGACGGTAGTCACGAACTAAGACTACATCATTCACACTAAATGTAACATTTCTGTTGCCTTTAAAATGCTTAGCTTGATTTTCAACATTTCTTTGCCAATTTTCACTATTATTAGGTCTAATTAGGTCAAACCTAGTGCGTAGATTTCTACCAAACATTAGTTTTGAAGGAGTTTCACAGGTGGTACAATGCTGACTATTACGATAATCAAACAAATAACGATCTATAGCAGTTTCTACATCTACATTGGTTTCCTTAGCTATCTTACAACATTTCTTAATTGACTTTACAGCATTTTCTGCAGCACCATTTGTTGCAGGGTGATAAGGTGCTGTTAATGAATGTTTGATTCCATTATTTGACATGAATTTACTAAACTCATCGGAAGTCCACTGTCTTCCGTTATCAGTTACAAAAACAACTGGTAAACCATACCTTGCAAATATTTTTCTCAACTGTGAAATGGTTGCTGAACTTGTTATGGTATGCATAGGAATTACTTCTAAGAACTTAGAATAGGCATCAATTACTACAAGAAACATCTTATTATTAATCGGACCAAAGAAGTCGGCATGAACTCTCACCCAAGGTTTGTCGGGTATATTCCAATTATGCAAAACTGACTTTGGTGGATTTTGCCTACTATTGTTACAATACTCGCAGGTATTTGCAATGTTTTCTATGTCCTTATCTATACCTGGCCACCACATACATGATCTAGCGATACTTTTCATTTTGACTATGCCCAAGTGATTTTTATGCAATTCCCTTAATAGGCTAGGCCTTAAGCTAGGAGGAATGACAATGCGATACCCCCACATGAGACAATTTCCTTCAACATTCAACTCATCCTTCCTATAAAAATAGCATTTCAAATTATTATCAATGTTAGT